GTTTGAGTATCAATTGATAGATTCTTTGTTCTTCCATTATCTCAGTTCTTATATTACAGGCCTCATTATTCTGTCTTTCAGAACCCCATGGTTAACTCTTGGTCGTTGGTCTATAGTGAAACCCCCGCTCTACTAAACTCCAACCACCAAGTACGGTATACGCTTGTTCCAGGGGCTGCATAGTGCAAAGTGTCCTTAGACCTCAGCCTTGCCTCCACCAACTCGGCTCATTCCATTCAACTTCCCGAGCTCGTTTTTTTCCGTGACCCGAACTTGGGAAAAAGGAGTGAGTCCGTCTTGCGCAGGTGTCTAGTCTAGTCTAGTCTTGTCTTGTCTTGTCTTGTCTTGTCTGCGGTTGAAATATTGTTCTATCCTTGTTCTTATTTCGTCTTTTGGTCCCATTGGAAGCTCTCTATCTGCATCCATTTTTACGCTGCTATGAAGGTCTCTTTCTCTTTGGCTGCGCTGCTGGCAGCAAGCCTGTCGCAGGCTCAGTATCTCATCAGTGAACTTAGCTTTGGTCATGCTGGAAGGTTTGTTCTACCTTTTTTGTACCTTTGTGGTACTGCACTGTCCAGCGAACCAACGTTGCTAACCCATGCTGCGTCTACAGGATAAGCCCACCCGAAGCTCGTGGACAGATTCCCAACTTTGCTGTCCAAGGCAACCCCAACACGCCCGAGGTTCTCTCAAACCGAATTATCTTGACACCTCTTGCGCCTGGCAACCAACGAGGTGCCGTCTGGGGCCAGCAGCCTTTGCTTCGGAACCAATGGATCGCCGACGTCGACTTCCGAGCCAACGGCCCTGATCGTGGCCGTGGCAACCTCAACATCTGGCTTGTTCGCAACGGTCCTGCTACGATCGGCTCTGGAAGCATCTACACTGTCGGAAAGTTCGACGGTTTGGCTCTGGTTATTGATACTTCTGGCGGTTCCAGCGGTATGGTTCGAGGTTTCTTGAACGATGGAAACACCGATTATTCAAGGCAAAGCAATGTCGATGAGCTCTCGTTCGGCCACTGCCCATACAACTATCGCAACCTCGGCCGACCCTCGCAGGTCAAGCTTCGACAGACCGCTAGGACATTCCGTGTTGAGTTGGATGGTAACCTGTGCTTCGAGTCAGACAAGTTCAGCATTCCCACAGGTTATCAGTTTGGTGTCACTGCTGCTACCCCTGATAACCCTGATTCTTTTGAGGTCTTCAAGATGGTTGTCATGGCTGATAACAGCGACAGTGGTCCTGTTCGTGACCCTCCTAAGCAGAACCAAAATCAGGGACAGAACCAGGACCAGAACCAGCGTGTTCCACCCGTCAAGGACACCTCCAACAGTAACAACAAGCAAAGCGATGGCGAGTACGCAGATGAAGATCCCGATGTCTTCCAGACTTCCAAGGCTCAGTTCATGGATCTGCACAATCGGCTCCAGAACACCAACCACCAGCTCGCCTCCCTCCAGCGCACCTCCTCACGCCACCAGCAGCAGGATGAGAAGCGCCACGAGGACTTAACTGCCCTTATCGGCCAGCTCCGTGCTGATATGCGTAAGCTTGACGATATCACTGCTCTGCACAGCCGTGTCTTGGAGCTCGAGAAGGATATCCAGGGCCTCCGAAAGGAACTCAACCGCAAGCTGCAATCCACCGAGCGTACCTTCAAGGACACCCTCTCTGACCACCATAACTCTTTGTCAGAGACCGTCATGGCCAAGACTCCTGGCCACCGTTTCCTTATCTTTGTTTTCCTTGGTACACAGGGTCTTCTCGTTGCGGCTTATGTCGTTTACAAGAAACGGCGCTCATCCATGCCCAAGAAGTACCTGTAAACTCATAAGAAGGACTATAAAGAGGAGGAGTATGGATTCAAGGGAGAACTTGTATTTGGACAGTGAGGTTTGACGTCACGTCTTGTTCCTGGGTACTGCAGTGCTTTGTAAATTAGACGCATGAGCCGTGTGTACATGGGAGAGTCTTTATGTTAGCAAAAGAAATGAGTGTGATGATTAGAAAAAATCATAAATCAATATTGTAAATCTGAAAGACCATATACCCAAGACGCATTCTCATTACTTGGACCATACACTCAACGTCATTAGACCACTCCCTGACCACCCATGACTACTAATCCACGCATTCAAACACTAAACATTTCAGACTCGCTTAACTTGCTCGCCGACAGTTTCATAGCTAAATGCAAGCATTCATATCGTCATTAAATCTTCTCAAAGCTGCCGTTGATCACATCAAGCATCTCGTCACCCTTGGGGGCAGCAGAGGTCAGGTTCTCATAGCCTCCGGATGTGACGAGAATGTCATCTTCGATGCGAACACCACCAACTGGGTAGTATGTCTCGAGGAGGTCTTGGTTAATGAACTTGGCATGTGACGGGTTGTTCAAAAAGTATCCCTCAATAAAAGGACGGCAGAAATAGCTTCGATAAATTAGCTTCATGGACCTCGTTTTCGAAGAAGGTATAGGACTTACATTCCTGGCTCGATTGTCACAATCATATTGGGTTGGAGAGACTGTCTTGGCTTTATAGGCGGGGAGGACGAAGCCATACGATGCATGGCCACCAGAGCTGTGGCAGTCACCATCTCACGCTTACCACCCTCGACGTGGAAGTTATCTCTCATCAAGAGACGCTCATAGCCAGTGACATCGTGAACCTCAAGACCAACATGATGACCGAGACCGTGGGGAAAGAAAGCAGCGACGGTTCCCGCCTTTTGGATCTCCTCAAAGTTGCCCTTCAAAAGACCCAACTTGCGCAAGCCTTGAAGAGCTACATCACTAGCATGAAGCTGAAGTTCGTAGTAGACAGTGCCAGGTCGAACACGTGCTATACACTCTTCCTGCATGCGCTGCACAATAGAGTAGATCGCGGAGGCCTCCTTGGAAAAGGAACCACTGACAGGGAGAGTACGGGTGATGTCGCTGGCGTAGCACTGATACTCACAGCCGGCATCGACAACGATCAGTTGCTTGCCCTCGAGAGGCTGGTTGTTGGCTCCGTAGTGTAGAATCGAAGCATTGACACCAGCGCCAGCAATAATAGGATAAGCCTGGGCATGAGCACCACGCGAAGTGCAAGCGGCAAGTAGAACTGCCTCGACGTCTTGCTCGTTGCGCATAGAAAGGAGGCGTTCAGCCACAGCACGATGAGCAGCGGCAGAGATACGTGAAGCCCGACGGATGAGTGCAACTTCATATTCCGTCTTGATTACACGGGCCTCATCCATGGCAGGTCGCAGCTTGGAGCAGTTGATCTGGGTCTGCCCACGTGGTCGATCAGTCAACTTAGGAGCCTGATCAGAATGAAGGACAAAGAGAGTCTTCTCAGGACGAAGTTGGCCATGAAGGAATTTTGACAGCTGAGCAGTGTATCGAACGTCATCGACGTCGTATTTGCGCATAGCCTCTGCTGCGTCAGGAGTTGGGCCGTGATACAAGACCTGTCGCGGCTCAGCATAAGGGATCCAGAGGGTGAGACGATCCATGGCGATTTCGTAAGTCACGGCACAGTCGGGAAAGTCAACGCCGGTCATGTAATAGAAGCTGTGCTTTTGTCAGTAGATTTTCTTTCACGGGACTGTGTAGCATACTATCTACGTTGCTTGAAAGGGGGTGACTGGTCTGAGTCCTCATAGAGGCGTGTAGGCTCGCCAGGAAGATAGATGAGTCCATCAGTAACGCCGAGCTCTTTGACGACTTTGCGCGCATGGAGTTTTGCTTCATGACATATCAGTACTCGTTTGCATATGAAGGACATGTGAGATAACTAGAGCTTCTTTGAACATACCAGGATATTTGTTACCGCTGCTGCTTTTGCCGCCGTAGTCATCGTCACTCTTCTTTACCTCAACACATCTGCCACGAAGCCCGAGTCAGTGATCTGAGCAGTACGCAACACTAACAAGGGCATAAGAGCCCAAGATCAACTCACAGCGCATCAAATTCATCCTCAAGCACAAACTCGTAGCTCATCGACCTTCTTTCACGTGCTTGAGGCCTCTGCTCCCCGCAGACGGGCTTCGGCGGCGTTATCGGCGGCGCCATCTGCGTGCACATAAATAATTACAGTACAGTACAGCCTTGTTGACTCGTATGTAGGATCGAATGAGCGTGTTGAAAAAAGGGCCGAGAGGGACGAAAAGATTTACTCAAGAATAGGTACGTGTTGTTTATTGAGAAGAGAGGAAGGTTCAAGTTTCATGTGATAACACATACACTAAAGCTACAGTTACAGCTACAGTTGGAGTTACAGTATCCGCCCCCAATAAGTCAGCCATAGTCTCCCCCGTATCGCTTCCTTGCGGTGCTCATCGGGAGTGGTCACAGCGTATCGTAACCCCCCGATAACGCCCCTTCTAAGCCCAACTGCACTAATTCATCCATTTCATGGCGCAACCAGATCGAGTATGAGACGCTTTTAGTCCGCTGCCGTGGAATTGTTGAGGAAAAGGTAGATTAGATTACGGGACGATCTGATCTTGTTCCAGTGGCTGAAAGATCTCGTATCTCCGAGCCAAGCGATACAAAATGCATATTTGATACTCAGTCAACCACTTTCAATGTTTCATATTGCTTGGTGGCAAGTCTCATTACAATTGGATGAATCTGTACTCAAAGCTGAATTCATTGCAGTCCTAGCAAGTAGTCTTCTCCTCCATGATCCTACACCTTTCATTCAGCTTCCCTCCTCTCTTCACATCCACTTCGACTTCAACCTCAACAGACAATCCAATGTTTGTCCAAGTGTACAACAGTCCCAGCCGCCGTCTATGTGCGTTGGCCATATCTAAAAACGCGATCATTCCTGTGCCATACTCTTCAACCGTGGTATCCTAGCCCCTTTAACAGACAGCCCAAGCACTCCGTTCCAAATCAAAATCGCTCTTCCCATGAAATAAAAATCAAGATCAAAATCACTAGCCGACGCCTCGCGCGCTTTCCGTCCTCCCGTATCATGAGTGGGTATCAAATGTAGCGACCGTTACATTCCTTGGAATCCTCCTCTTCCAGAGCCAAAGAAGCCTCCCCAATCCGCCTGCATGCCCTGTTCCGTAAACATTTGTTGTATTTGCCTTTCTTGATGCCGCTGTGCGTGCGCTCGTCGGTTTGACATGGCGTGCCCTTGATGAATTGCGTGCGTTTGTGACACTGGTCGCCGTTGCTGCATCATCGGTTGACCGGGCTGCATTCCCATTATGGCTGATGGACTGGCGAACATCGGTTGGTGGCTCGGTGCACTCATCATGGGCTGGCCCTGCTGGTGCATCATGTAGGGCGGTGGTTGTCCAAAGATCTGGCTTTCCACGTCGTCGAAAGTTCCAGTCAAGAAGAGTTGCATATCTTGGTTCTGGTCTCCCATAGTCGTGGGTTGGTCTGTCTTGCCCGGGAATCCCAGTTCCATCATAGGTTGGTTCGGATAGGCAAAAGGATCCTCGGACGGGAACATGAGCGAGTCGAGTTTGTTGACAGGGTTGTGCATACCCATTTGCTGTCCTGCGTAGGGGTAGCGCTGAGTACTTGTCGCCGCGCTGCTTGTCGACTCTGGGGTGCTTCGTTGCAAATCGGGAGACATGAAATCACCAAAGTTGGCTGAGAAAGTGTTATCTTGGAAGGCTGTCATGCCTCCTCCGGGCAGATCCATCGTTCCTTGGGACAAGGTTGTAGGATAGGAACTTGTTGACATCTGGCTTGCACGAGTGAAGTCTGTCGTTCCTATCGAGGACATGCTTGCAGGAATTGGAGTGTGATGAGACGAAACAGAGGAAGGCCGTCCTGTAGGGGCGGGTCTTTTCTTTGAAGGTGCTTGTCGCATCGCTCCAGCATCCAATTGCTCTGGTAATTGATCAAATAGAGCCTGTTTCGATAACGTCAGTAAAATTACAAGGGTTCAAATATTTAGGTCATACCTTGAGGGCACTGGTAACTCGTTCGGCCGACATGCTCTTCTCCGCCAGGGCTGCAATCATTTGTCTTCCAGCTCGAGCATCTGCTAGAACCTCGCCGGAACCGGGTTTCTCGGGGTTTTCTGTAGCATAGAACACAAGGGACAGGACGGCAAAGAACTCAGTGTACAGCATGAACCAGTACGGTCCACTGAGAACCCGCTGTTTGCGGATTTCCAATCCAATATGCACAATGTTACGAGAGACGCTGATTGCTGCGGCTGCACAAGCATATGATAGCTCATCGACCTTGCTTCCGTGACTCAAACGAGGAGAGACGTAGTGCAAGAACGGTCGGTATAGCACAAGTTGGACATGTGCATAGGCAAATCTCAACAAATGACGGATTCTGTCACCTTGGTTAGTAATGCTTTACAGTTTGTTCAAATACATCATTGCTACACTTACCGAACCGTCTCAATTGGCCCCTCACCGCTTGGGCGCCAATGCTGAGGCAGCCTCTCAAACCAAGAATGAAGCTCAGCTTCAATTTCCTTGATGCGGCCATAACTAATTAGATAGGTGGAGGCAGGTTTGCTGTCTTTTGCAGCGGTCTGGCCCAATCCCTTGGTTGGATAGACGTATTTCGTAACCTTTGCCAAGATTTCCATGAGTTCTGAATGGGCGTTGAACGCTTGGAAGAAAGATGGTGATCCAGGCGGTGGTCGCAAAATTCCGGTGTGTGTAATAAACTCGTCGTCAACTTCCAAGGGGAATGGCTGATCGATATCGTCCACGTTAAGGAGGAGAGGAAAGCCAAGTAATGTAGAAACATAGATATCCATTTGTCGAACCACGTAGAACACACGTTTCCGGACTTCCTGCTCGATCGGATCGATTTTTTCGTGCTGCAAGTGTCGATGAAGGCCTATTCGGAGTGACGAGCGCAGCGCAATACCAACGAAGGAATAGCAGCTGCTGAGATTCGAGGTGGCTTGGAGGAAAAGAATAATGAATAGAAGAGCTTGTAGTGAAATAAGGTCGCGACAATCGGTCACATCGTGTAATACCGATCGCGCAGCATTGTAGTATTTGAGACCCTCTTCTGTCGCATCCTGATAGGGCATGCTTCCTGGGTCGTTATCGTCGAGATTGTTGTACATACACCCAAGAGACATGACGGAGAATAATAGTCCAAGATATTGCGTTTCGTCCTTTGTTAGATTATCCAATGGTCGTTCGTAAATCTTGTCCATTTGCTCGTAGAAAGTGGGAACGTGAAGGATTCGGACGAGACATGTCGCGCAGCTGAGGGAATAATAGCACAGCTTCCGGGCAACATCCTTTGGCGGGAGCTCTGGGTAGCTTGGAACTGCTGAGAAGGGTGTTCCGACCGAAGATAATGAAGGCGACTCCAGACCAGCCGGTCGTTCGGCACGAGGCAGAAACGGAGCTTTTGAGGACGAACCAAGCATTCCTCTGAAATGATCCTTCATACGTTTCAAGAACACAGCGCCTGAGGAGTTGCCATGAAATTCCAAACTTCCCTTCTCGTCGATATCAAGTTGGCCAACGGAATCGATCATCGAAGTCAGATGGGCTTCATTCTGCTCAGGCTGGGGTGGTGGTGGTGGAGGAGGCTGTCGAGCCTTGGAGGCTTGGGCACGAGCATTTTCGCGATTACGGAATTCTTGCTGAATTGCTGGATCAAGATTCGGGTCGGCAAGGTCGACATCGGGCATAAATTTGTGAAGTAGAGACTCGGCGCGTTGCAGTCGACTTTCCAGGGCTTCGATGTACTGTGGGGCCGGGTTTCTTCTCCTGTTTGAAGGTTTATCGTACGTGCATTCTGCATGTAACGGTCAGCCACTGCGTCGTTTTCCAGTATGAGGGTTAAAGTGTATAAGAACAAGCGATTGAGCGATAAATTAGATAGAAGCCGCGTACCATAACTATAGACGGAGCAGTGCGTGCATGGTTGCTTGCCGTCACATTTAATCTTCTTCCGTCGGCATTCATCGCATGCGCGCGTTACTCGTCGTCGCTTCTGAATCGGTTGGGATGACGCGCCAGGTTGTGGGTTGCCGTCTTCGTCAAGATCGTTGTCGGACTTGATGCTCGCTGACGGCGATGGAGCATCATCGTGCCAGTCGTGAGCCGACTGGCCAGCGTCGTTGTCACCGACGTCCGGAGGCATGTCGAACTTGGTTGAATTAGCAAAGGACCATGGAGTTAACTACTCGACATTGGTGAATTGAGGGGATAAGGTGATCGGGGTATGAAATTTGGAGTGTCTTGGCAAAGGCTAGGGCCCCATCGCCGATTGAACTCGCAGATGGGACAGTTTCCTTGTAAGGATACAGCGCAACGTACAATGTTGATGCGAATGCCAGGTAGAGAAGAGGAGGTGAGTTCGGGGCACAATGCTGAGGTGCCAAGGAACGACGGGGAGAGCCGACGGGCGGGTGATTGATGTTACAGGTTTTCACTCACCAGTTAATGGGCCTCTTGGCCAGGACGAAAAGGAAATAACGAGCTGGGTATTATTATGACAAGGGTCGAGAAAGGAAATGTCGTCGTCGTTGTCGCCGCTGCCGTGCGGCAGAACTGGGAATTGATTGAAGCGGGCAGTCGAGAAGAGTCGAAGAGAGTCAAAGGGAGTACAGAGTGAATGAGGTGCAGATACAGTTACAGTTGCAGGGTCGCAAGTGTAAGTTGTGAGGCAAGTGGTAGCCCATATCCCAATCGCCCCAAAGACTCACGGCCTAGGCCATCAGCGTTCAAGAGAGTTCAGTTAAAGTTCCTGCGAAGCAAATGGCAGGGTCAAGAATAGAAATAGAAGAGTGAGGTCGGTAGGTATCCAAGACTGAAATGAGATGGTGATGATGGGGGGAAGCGCCCTGGTAGAGAGAGTCTGAGAGTGAGTGCCCTGGCGCTGGTGTTGGGCAATAGACGGGGGATAGCCTGTCGTAGCAAGTACCGCCCCGTAGCGCGCTGCACTGCACTGACTTGACTTGACGGAACCTAACTGAACTGAACTGGGTATGGACTGAGCCAGAAGGGACTAAACTGTTCCAAGTCAAAGAGAAAGGGATGAGTGAGAGAGCCCAGTTGTAGCGGGCGGGTTTCGCGACCGAGGCGGATACGGATGATCCGCTTTGGTTTGGATTGAGCAACAACAGGAGAGTAACAAGCCCAGTACAAGCGACAATACTACAGCAGCTCGCAACAACAGGTAGTTAGTTAGGTAACCTACGAACAAAACGGGGTGAGCGAACGAGAGCGAACGAGAGAGGGGAGAACAACGAAAGAAGGTGGAGTCGCAGAGACGGTAACTCGAACGGGCTCTCCAAAAGGACCTCAGTCTCAGTCCAGTCTGAGTCTGAGCCTGCCCGAGCCTGGGCTGGTTTTGGGGCTTTGGATGGGGTCCTTAGGCGGAGCCAATGACCACGGTACTTGATACCGTATTATCAGCACGGTACAGCCTGGTACCTCGGTCTTTCACGTTCATGTCTCAATCGTAAGTGACTAGTGAGAGGATGCAGATACGATAGGTGAGGCCACCTTTGAGGGTAATATTCAGGTCTCCAAAGAGATGGTGGCAGATGCTAAGATTCTACCAAGACCCAGGGCTGGCAAACCAGAGTTGCCAAAGGGATGATGAGACACAAAGGCTGGGAAATTCTAGTGCCAAGCAATACCAAGGCACAAAACATGTCGAGCCAAGAGTTGAAGCCAAGTAAAATCAAAGGCTAGTGGATGAATGAGTGGCATGAGCACCAGAGGGAGCAGCCCAGCACAAGACGCGCAATGTCATTTCGACCAACTTCCAATGGCCCAAGAATGGCTGTCGCTGTGAAACCGCTGCACTCTAAGCGATCAGTATGAAAAGGAACAACGGCAATTGGAAAGATTGCGGACGCGTCAAGAGACTGAAAGCTTGATGTTTTGAATGCAACGTAGAGCAAGGGATAATTGAGTTAAGGTTGCGGGTGTAACAGCCATGAAATAACCCGTACAGTTAGGTCAGCCAAGAAACAGAAAGCAAAAGAGGTTGTTCAGCCATTTCAAAATTAAAAGTACGAATATTAATTTCAGTCGCGATCAACTCACGATGTCAGGTTGAGGAACCTCATTTGGAGCATCACACATTACGGCGGCGTTGCGCAATTCTACCTACCAAGGGGAAATGACCGAGACGGAAGGGTTCAAGGAAAAGACGGCTTCTGAAATGTCACACTGTCCTCTGGAGGTCATTTTGTTACTGCAGGGGGGATCGGCCTCCAAGTTTACCAGGGCAGGGAGGTGAGGTGACATTGGATCCAGCGTATACCTTTTAGACAGGTACCAGTTTTTTGAGTTGCTCGCTGTTACTGACTTATGTACAAAAGAACCCCCTCGTCTTGAGATAACTACAGTATCTCCATGCCTCATGTGTCGTTTTGTCTTGTGTTGTACTGCGGGCTTCCTTGAGAAACCACGCGCATAACGCCAATAGTGTCCCATTGCGTCGCTGAATAGTTACAGAAGTCGTTGATGCTGTTCATCAAGACTTATCTTACCCAGATTCTCTAGAGACTATCACTTGGCGCATTGCCCAAGTGAGTCAGGTCCATGCCCCCAAATAGACTATCACCTCGTAAAACGCGTCGGTGGCTGGTTTACCGGGGCTTTCCTTCGACAACGCTTCTTCTCATCAAACAAGAAGGAATTGGAAACACGAATAACACATTGCAGTACCAACTCGTGCGCAGCTACAGCAGGATCACGGCTATGACGGGACGGCGACCTCTAGAAAAGAGAAGCCATCTCCACTGCTCAGGGCCCTGCAAGTGGACGGATACATCCATCAACCCCAAAGCCGCGCGGCCGCAAAATAAACTCGCAGTCAGTCTCAGGAACAGACCCCCTTTGCATTTTGGGACCAACCGGCCGCTCAGCGCCGTCGCATGCACAAGCACAAGCTGTTGCACCGGCGGATTCAAGATGGCCAGCGTCTTCTTTCTTCAATGGATGTCGTTAATTGAAGCACTGAAATGAGACCGATACAACTTTCAGGGACCACGGGCTGCTGGCTGCTGTAGACGACCACTACGCCATTGATTACGGTCTGATACCGTTCCAACGCCTCGAGTCGCGAGTACCAGTACCCAGCAGTAATTTTAAGCACCCGCTAATTGGGTTCGAAGACACTCACTAACTCCCTAGGGGCAATGAATGAACCGCCCAAAGGCGCAAAACGCTCTGGACCAACCTTGTCGTCAGCTAGATCGCATCCAATCCAATTCACCCTGACGAGACTTGCATGGCCTAGCCCGGGCAGGCTTGTGAGTGGCTGCACTAGGCAAACCTAAGCCCCAGCGGCATAAACTTATGGGGATTGATCTTGTTCCCGTGTTATCTGCGCTGATGAAGCTGTGGCAAGAGTCTCTAGACGAGAGGCCAAGAGGGTCTCGGAATCGCGAGATAAAGCCATTGAAGATGGTGTTGACGACAGGAACCAAACGTCATTGCTGGCATTTTATTTGGGGTCGATTGGCAGCGTTGAAATTTGCGTGTTGATCAATGAAAATCACAGTCAACTCTATTCGCAACAGCAGTAGACCGCTCCAACTTTGTTCATACCTTATTGAGAGTCTAGTCTAATGCACTGGCTGAAGTGTGACCCAGGCTGCAGCAACGGAGACAAGCATAAGATAAACCAAACACTAACAGAGATGCTTTAACCCGTAGCGTTTGCGAGAAGAAGCAGGGTCCAAAATCAAAATAGTTAGATGCAGAGCGTGTTGGTACAGTACAGTACCTACAAATTGATATTGAACTGAATCCAGAAACCACCATTGCATCGGCTCCGGGAGTCACGGAAGCTGACGGGCGGGATGATCCCTATTCATGTGGCTTCTGGCCCGCCACGCATGAGAACAAGGCGCCACATGCATGTTGGGTAGTGACCATCATGCAATGTGATTCGAATTCTCTTCACGTACCCGAGAATCGAATTGGGAAGAGGATCACGACGACCAGGTGAAGAATCTGTGCGTTGGACATGACATCATCCAACTAAACCGAACTTGACACACACAGAATGGATGGAGATGGATGGATGTATGGATCCTAACCTCAATCTCCGGCTCTCACCCGGGTTTCCTCCGTTCCCTGACCTGCCTGGGCTCTAGCTCTAAACGGCGCAGCCGAATCAGACAGAGGGCCCTCTCGCGTCTTCGCGGTTCTGATTCACTTTAGATTCAGGATCTATTGGTGGAAAAGGTGCCAGTGGTTCTCTATCGCTCTAGAGACCCATCGCTAAGCTGGAACCGTCGTGGTTCTTTGGTCCAAAAATATGCATCTCCTTCGGCCGATAAAGTCGGGTCAGAGAGCGATTCAGAATTATCTGCCGTAGATTTGTGTTGCAACAAGTCTTGGCATTGGTCTTGGCGTTCAAGCTTTGTTTTGACCTCTTCTACAAAGTTTCAATCAAACTTGACCAGGCCTTGCTTGAGCCTAATGAACAACGTCTGTTTTTCCAGAAACATCAACTCTCAGTCAAAACGACCTAACTCAACTATAATTGAATAGAGTTAACACGTCCGGAACTAGCATTACCCTGCCAGTCACAACATCTGCAGCCATGTTCCAGCACATTGTCTAGACTCTAGATTGTCTGATAATTCAGGGTCTCTTGATCGTCGTAACGTTAACTCAATGGTGAAAAACGCTCACAATGTTCGCAACTAGGCAGGTGGTTATTTCCTGCCCGGGCCTGAATGTCACAGTCACTTTGTCCTCGTGAAAGAGCGGACATGCTGCATTGGGACCCTCATCCAAGCGCTCAGCTCCAGAATATTGCTGATGTGCCAACATGCATCTGTGCCTCTGCCGTATCAGGAGAACACTGTACGTAAAGTCTCCAATTGAAAGTTGCATTATGCGCATTAATTGTCAGGAAAAGTCGCAGAACGTCATCACGAAGTCCTGAGTCAAACCTGAGGCTAGCCTTGCTGGAGTCAAAAAGCTTCTTTTTTTGATCGTCAGCAACCAAGAACCGAAGCTGGATGTCATGGGAGGCTCGGGACCGAGTCGGCTCCCCACTTACCGCCACCAAATCCTCACCTTGGCTCACCGAGGTTGACCCATGTTGCCCCGGTCTGGCTGCTCACTCACCGAGCCTCCCCCACCTTGTCTTACCCCACTGTAGCCTAACCTAGCCTACCTTACCTAGCAGCAGCAAGTGATTGCTATCCACCAAAGCACACGTCAAGTTACAGATAGCTCTTTGTATCCATCCCACATTGTTTAATAGGCGTGTCTGGGTGTGTATGAGCTACGCACAGCTTCGAGATGTCTGAATCAAGTCCCTTGGCGGCTTACTTTGCCCATATGAGAAACACGGGTGGCATCATTGTCCAAGGTTCGTTGAGCTGCTGGTTGTCGTCAAAGCCGTGAACACTGGCTTCAACATGCGATTAGAATCATGTGCTGAGTTGCATCTTCAGAACAACCAAAGCTCGATCTCGATCTCTATATCCAGAATTACACCGGTCAGTCAATCCGGTCTCACTGGTACCATCTCGATGTGCCAGCTGACAGTTCATTTAGGGCGAACAAGAATCGATCGCCTCATCCACGTCGGAAAGTCTTCAGTACCACTTTGTATCGACGCGCTCAAGACTGCTATCGCTGAGATCAAGCAAGGCTCAGATGTGGCCCTATACATCGAAGCTTGGGGCTGCATTCGACTTGCTGCTCCTGACGACCCCGACGCCCAAAAAGATCAAGCATGGATCGATACAGTCGAGCGCGAGAACAAGGCGGAAGCTGGACGGCTCGAAACCCAGCTTAAGCAATACAAACACAATCTGATCAAAGAGAGCATCCGAGTGCGTGAAGATTTCAAAACTCTGTGAATATAAGTTTCTAACTTTAGTAGATGGGAAACGAAGATTTGGGTTTGCATTTTGAAAAGACCGGATATTTAGAGGCAGCCGCCGAGGCGTACAATCGCATGCGCCAGGACGTCACCACCACCAAACACATTATCGATTGCGGCATCCATCTCGTGAATGTCTACATCGCTCGACGGGACTGGACCATGGTTCTGAACAATCTGGGTAAGATCGTCGGTGTTCAGAGTGGTGAGGAGGAACGTTTATATCAGCCATACACAAAACTTGTCTCCGGTATTGCGCTCCTTGGCCTCAAGCACTACAGGGATGCAGCCAACAACTTTCTCCAAGTCGACTTCACCATACCGCCTGCGCAATACAACCACATCGCTAGCCCCAACGACATTGCAGTTTATGGAGGTCTCCTTGCCCTGGCGACTATGGACAGACAGGAACTTCAAACTCTAGTCTTGGAAAACCAGTCGTTTCGTTCATTCCTAGAACACGAGTCGCACGTCCGCAAGGCCATCAGCCTTTTTGTCAATGGCAGATACTCAAGCTGCCTTGCTATTCTCGAGTCCATTCGAAACGACTGTCTCCTGGACATTTACCTACAGCGCCACGTCCCATCCCTCTACTCACAGATCCGAAGAAAATGCATTGTCCAGTACTTCATACCATTCTCATGTGTCACCCTCGAGAGCTTGAACCAAGCATTTGCGCACGATGGAGAGTCAGTCGAGATGGAGCTCGTATCTATGATCCGCGAAGGAATTCTCAAGGCCCGTCTAGATATCAAGGAGCAGGTAGGCAACCTTTTTTTCTTATCTTGACCATTTACTGATTGTCTATAGTTGCTCATTGCAGAACAACCCAACCCGAGACTTGATATGCAGAAGCAAGCACTTGAGGTCGCTACCAAGTACGAGGAGGAGGCCAAGGAGAGACTCCGTCGCATCAACCTCATTGCTGCTGGTCTCGAGGTTGCAGGAAGGTCAAAAGGACCTGGCCTTGGTGGTCGCGGAATAGATGAGCAGTGGTACGGTGAGGGCAAGGCACCGGGACAAGCAGGCGCCGTCGAGGCCTAGAAATTTCGGTGCATAATGGTAAAAGATTGTGCGCCTTGGCCCTTGTCGACTGATCCAGCGAAGAAGCAGGACGAACTGGGTATCACAAGCTGAACCAATGGACTGCACATCGCATTACGGCCTAGGCGTTAGGAATTCCTGATCACGGTTATCCACTTACGGGTACGGAACTATACTGCGGTAGATTAGATGAGGCGTCAGGAGCATTCTTCGAAATAAATCATTCCATACAATGCTGTTGTGGTGCATATATTTTAATTATCCTTGTTCAAAGGGGGTATCGTTATTACGTTCGAGCCCTTGCCTCTAGCTATATACTACTCTTCAGCCCATCAACTGTCGCAAGTCTGTGGGCGGCCATCGAACTTGCGCAAAGGTCAGGCAACGTTTGATGCTCTGAAGATACTTGCGGGTAACCTCATCTCCCATGACATGACCCTTCTCTCCATCATGTAGCTTCTCGCGAGCGCTTCGCTCGTGGATGCCTACCATGGTAACGCCAATAGGCCACGCTGCCTTGCCGATACTCAGACGTAGATATCCATCATTGGCGTCCACGTAACGGCGCTCTTGGAGAGCTTGAACGATTTCTGTAACAGGCTTGAGAATGTCGTCGTCGAGTTTGCCTTGCTCAAATTTGCGGAATAGCTTCCAGGTGTTAGTGCGTGTCCCGACTCTGTAAATAAGGATGACTTACTGGTTTCATGTTCTCTCGAGTCTGCACCATAGCGTTATATGCCGTTTTGCTGGCACTCGTATCCCGCTTCTCAGCCTCCATAGCTCGCTCGTACTCTGTAAGAACCATCGTAAAGTAGCTTGCCAGTTGTCGAAATAGCCACTTCCTGCCTTCCTTGTCTTTAGGTAGCTCAGTAGTCACCTTCATATCCTTCTCATCCACGAGTTCTAAGGTTGTTGGTATTGGGCCCTTGGTCACGACTGTCGTCCACTTGCGATATCGTCTCAATTTCGCCGAGTGATTCTCTCCGAACAATACAGCTGGTTCACCCAGCTCCCTTAGCTTATCAACTAGCTCCTCCTCTGGTATATCCTCGCTGGCATGCACACCATCCTCAACATCTTCGCTTTTGGCCTTGACCAGCTCTGGCAAACCAAGTCGCTTCCTTCGGGCGCGTTCTTCTTCAGCTTCTTGCTCTTCGCGTCTTTTGCGCATGTCTTCAGCAAGTTTACGACGCTTCTCTTCGCGGGCGGCGTTCTCGGCGGCAGCATCTTCCTCTCGTTTGCGCTTTGCGGCTGCTTTGGCTTCTCGCTCGGCCTCGAGGGCTTTTTGTTCGGCAAGGTATGCTTCTTTTCTTTGCGCTTCGATTTCTGAGCGTTTCAAGTACTTCTTTTCCTCGCTGCCGGAGCTCTTCTTGCTCTTTGAGAGCTCTTTGTTCATCAGCGCCGCGAAATCCATGGTGTAGATTGGACAGCGTTTTTATCGACGTGTTGGTGTTTCCTATAGGAGCCTTGATCCAATATTCGAATTGGCCTTTGATTTGTGTTGGGAGATTGCCAAGATTGTGCCGCTAGCGGTTCAAATATTTGTTGTCGCAGTCTGTAAGTGGTAAGAGTTTACAAATTGATGATGGAGCGCGAAGTCATGATGGTTTAAGCGGATATAGATCGGTTAATTTGGATACTTTAGTGATGCCTCTCATCATTCGTAACTTAAACAACGAAACCTCACCAGAATAACAGAGTCTCACGATTTTCCTTTTTTCCTCCTTTTCAGTCTCATAAGATGTCTTCCTCTCCAGAAAGGCCACTACGCGAAGATACAACACCTTTCTTGCTGCATCTCTTCTACCGTACAGGATCTCTTCACAGGTATACATGACCCCTTCCAATATATATGGCGTTAGATCACAAGATGTTAACAACGTTTCATTTATAGGCCAGATGAATTTGAGTCGCATAGTTTGCCGCCACATATACCTGTGTACACATGGTCAGACTGCACTCTGAATGAGTTGGCTCTGGAACTTGCAGGCGCCAAAAAGTCAGCATTGCCTTCGCCCTCTGTGGGATGTCGTCTCGTATTCCAGTTGGTATTTCCAGACCTTCGAAACACCGCCGCAGTCACGAATGCTCTCCCCAAATACGGGGTTAAGGACCTCGGCAGCATTGTATTGGGTGGTGGTTCCGCAGCAGACACATCTGGTGATATTCCCATGGATGGCACAACAAGAGGGAGTGACGACAAAACCAAGACACTAAGCGATTGTCGATTTGTAGTTGGTGACTACATAACTTGCGCAATATTACCACCACTCTCGGATGGCTCAGTGGCGCCCGCTTCAAGCGTGCGTAGGGAGCAGGCTTCGGGTCCACATGAAGTCCGAGGGACTCACCGAGGAGGTCGAGATAACGGTTCTGGGCGTAGGAACTCGAGAGGAGGACGAGCTGGCTGGAGGGATGATGTCGGGGGAGATTTTCCTATGGGCGATTGGAGAAGAGGCGAAAGATTACCGGACACCTCTAGTGGGCGACCGAGGGGCAGAGGGAGGTGGTAACATACACCCAGTGCTTAATTTGATAGCGTCACGTCGATTATACCCATTTCTCATTCAATTCATCAGACACATCACAATTCGGCCACCATTCGTTCATTGTTGACCTCGGTTCAATTGAAACCCTACCATGGGCTCTATCCCAATCAGGGTGCTTTATATGTACAGATCTCAATGCTCCAATGCCTAGTCGGTTTATTTCTCGTAAATGAGGTCGCCCTTTCGCTTCGCTCGAAAATCCCAGAGTCCCTTCGCCTGTCAGCATTTCGGTGGTCGTCGCGATTTCTATTCCTTGACTTACGTCGGTACTGTAGGCGATGTAGCCCATGATGGCGGGGACCACGGCCACGTAGGTGAAGGTGAGCCGGGCAGTTCGGGGTGTCCATCGGAAGTAGTGATGGCGCGTCTTCATCATAGCTATTTACATTGTCAGAATAAGCTCGAGCCGAGGGTGTTGCCGTCGAGGTCGGGTAGAAGTCACGCACCGGCATATTTGAGATAGGCCGGGTCCGGCTTCACGTCTGCAGAGCAGCGGTTAGCAGAGTTCGGAGTTATTTGTCTCTACTTGACCTACTGAGGTGCGCCATTTTGATTGACGGTGATCTGTGTCGTGCTAGAGTGGTTTGCGGCACGAATTGGTTGTCGTGATGTTCAGTTGAATGATGCTAACCTTGGACGATGATTGTAGCTTTGATGATTACCTAAGTCAGTGTCTGAATCATGGTAGCGATCATTGGACAGCTCCCATCGGGACGTGGCTACCCTGTACCTTGGCCATATTTCGCTTGGTAAACCACTGGGTACAGTCTCCTCTAAGGGTTACTTATTTCAATTTAGAAGTGATACATCTATTTGTCCTAAGCTTTTATGGTTTGTAATTTTGATTATAGACGTCGATTTTTGCTGGCTTTAAATATAACTGTTGGACGCGACAGTCATTACTCATCTGAGCGCCAAAAGCAATGACAACTCATACGCAGGTAACATTCAAAACGTCCTTACTGCTAAGAATAGCATAGGTTATTTTCACAAATGACATGATATCGAAGCTGAAGCAGGAGCTGTAGGGCGTTTATGACTTCATAAACCTTTCTATGAACTACAACATAAGTTAACCTTCTAACTGAAGCAATAGTTTAGTTATTTGAACCCAGATACTGGTATACATGAATAGACAAAAATATATATGAGATCAACTCTGAACAGTAAACACTATTATAACCCAGCAGTAGAATACTACCTAGCCAAGATCACAAATAAGTCGCAGGCAACATGGATTGTAGTATAACTTACAACCAAACTGCAGAAGTCACGTGATAAGACCCACATTGAAGCGCGTCTCAAGGCCATGGCCCAGAATTTATCGTGATGAAGGCAACTTTCTCAAAAGCTCCTTAACATCTACCCCTGGTCGTGCTTGCTCAAAATCTGCGCGACCAGCATCAATTTCATCACCAAGCAACCGCGACAAAGCAGCTACTACTAATATTAATACTGATAGCGCTTTGGAACCGGTAGCGTGACTAATCACGCGCAACGGCGCTCAGCCTAATAGCGACAGCTTTCCGATCCTTCCCTTTCTCTTCTGCGCATTAAGAAACAATCATGTCGCAGCCTCCTCCGCCTCCTCCCCCAGGATGGGGACCGCCACCACCTCCTCCTCCGCCTTCTTCTTCTCTGCCTCCTCCCCCTTCAACGCCAGCTCCGCCGCCGCCACCAGGTTTTCGTCCTCCAACCAACACCCAGATGGCCAAGTTCGCGCAAAAGAAGAACGAATGGGTGAGGTCGCAACGAAACCGCTTTGGCGAGAAGCGCAAGGGTGGTTTCGTCCAAACCCAGAAGGCAGATATGCCTCCTGAACACCTACGGAAAATTGTTAAGGATATCGGAGATGTCTCGCAGAAAAAATACACGAACGATAAGAGAAGCTACCTAGGAGCCCTGAAGTTCATGCCACACGCAGTTCTGAAGCTCCTCGAAAACATGCCGATGCCATGGGAATCGGCGCGAGAAGTCAAGGTGCTCTATCATGTAAACGGATGCTTGACTTTGGTCAACGAGATCCCGCGTGTTATCGAGCCTGTCTTCTTTGCGCAGTGGGCTATGATGTGGACATTTATGCGCAAAGAAAAGGCCGACAGACGACTATTCAAGCGCATGCGATTTCCACCTTTCGACGACGAAGAGCCTCCCCTGTCATGGGCCGAAAACTTGGAGGATGTTGAGCCACTGGAGCCGATTCAGATGGAGTTGGACGAGGAAGATGACGAGGCCGTATATGAATGGTTCTACGATCACAGACCCCTTCTGGACACACCGCACGTCAACGGCCCAAGCTACAAGGCCTGGAACCTCACACTACCTCAGATGGCGACGCTATTCCGTCTGAGTCGACCACTTGTTTCTGATGTCGTCGACAAGAACTACTTCTATCTCTTCGACCTTAAGAGCTTGTTAACAGCCAAGGCTCTCAACGTCGCCCTTCCTGGTGGTCCTCGTTTCGAACCACTGTATAAAGATATCGACCCCAACGACGAAGACTTCGGCGAATTTAATGCGATTGATCGTATCATTTTCCGAAACCCCATTCGAACCGAGTTCAGGGTCGCCTACCCGTACCTCTATAATTCGCTACCAAGAAGTGTTCATTTATCGTGGCACTCACACCCTCAGGTCGTATTCAATCGTGCGGATGACCCTGATCTTCCGACCTTCCATTTCGATCGTCGCATCAACCCCATCTCGTCGCGAACCGTCGCACCCAAGAATGTCGAAGTTTCCCATGAGGACGAGATATTTGGCGCTGGTAACATTGAGGAGTCCGAAGACGATGCCTTTGAGCTGCCTGCTGGAGTCGAGCCGTTCCTTGCCGATGAGGATATTGAGAATGAGAACACATCATCCGCCGTCGAACTATGGTGGGCGCCTTACCCATTTGACCGACGATCCGGACGCATGGTTCGAGCACAAGATGTACCTCTCGTCAAGCAGTGGTACCTCGAGCATCCTCCCTCGGATCGACCTCCAGTCAAGGTCCGAGTCTCGTACCAGAAACTCCTCAAAAATTTCGTATTGAATGAATTGCACAAGAAGAAGCCCAAGGCGCAAAACAAGCAGAACTTGATGCGATCACTCAAGCAAACCAAGTTCTTCCAGCAGACAACCATCGATTGGGTCGAGGCTGGTCTGCAGGTTTGTCGCCAGGGTTTCAACATGCTGAACCTCCTTATCCACCGCAAGAACTTGACGTATCTTCACCTCGATTACAATTTTAATTTGAAGCCTGTCAAGACTTTGACCACCAAGGAGCGAAAGAAGTCACGTTTCGGAAACGCTTTCCATCTCATGCGAGAGATCTTGAGGCTTACAAAGCTTATCGTTGATGCCCAAGTTCAGTACAGACTTGGAAATATTGATGCCTTCCAACTTGCAGATGGTATCCTATACGCCTTCAACCACGTTGGCCAGCTGACGGGCATGTACCGATACAAATACAAGCTGATGCACCAGATTCGAACTTGCAAGGATCTGAAACATCTCATTTACTACCGGTTCAATTCTGGACCTGTCGGTAAGGGTCCTGGATGTGGTTTCTGGGCTCCCGCTTGGAGAGTTTGGCTTTTCTTCATGCGAGGAATTATTCCTCTGCTTGAAAGATGGTTAGGAAATCTTTTGTCTCGTCAATTTGAGGGTCGACACAGCAAGGGAGTTGCAAAGACCGTCACCAAGCAACGTGTGGAGTCTCATTTCGATTTGGAGCTTCGCGCTTCCGTTATGGCTGATCTTATGGACATGATGCCTGAGGGTATCAAGCAGAACAAGGTCAATACCGTGCTTCAGCATTTATCCGAGGCCTGGAGATGCTGGAAGAGTAATATCCCTTGGAAGGTTCCGGGCTTGCCTGCACCCATTGAGAACATCATTCTCCGATATGTCAAGTCCAAGGCCGATTGGTGGATCTCAGTTGCCCACTACAACCGTGAGCGTATCCGACGAGGAGCTACCGTTGATAAGACTGTTGCTAAGAAGAACGTTGGTCGTTTGACTCGACTTTGGCTCAAGGCTGAGCAAGAACGCCAGCACAACCACATGAAGGATGGACCTTACGTATCCTCCGAAGAAGCCATTGCCATATACACAACTACCGTGCATTGGCTTGAGTCTCGCAAGTTCTCTCCCATTCCCTTCCCAAGTGTTTCTTATAAGCACGACACCAAGATCCTCATTCTTGCGCTTGAGCGCCTCAGGGAGGCATATTCAGTGAAGGGCCGTCTCAACCAGAGCCAACGAGAAGAATTAGCTTTGATTGAGCAAGCATATGATAGTCCCGGAACTACACTGGAGCGAATCAAGCGATTTTTGCTTACCCAGCGAGCTTTCAAGGAAGTGAACATCGACATGAACGACAACTACAGCACCATCAACCCTGTCTACGATATTGAGCCTATCGAGAAGATTAGCGATGCCTACCTGGATCAATATTTGTGGTATCAAGCAGATCAGCGACATCTTTTCCCTGCCTGGATCAAGCCATCGGATTCCGAGGTCCCGCCTTTGCTTGTTTACAAGTGGGCACAGGGCATCAACAACCTTGACCGTGTGTGGCAGACTGAGAATGGTGAATGCAATGTCATGATTGAGACGGAACTATCCAAGGTTTACGAAAAGATGGAGCTCACGCTTCTGAACTCTCTCCTCAGACTGATTATGGACCACAATTTGGCGGATTATATCACAGCCAAGAACAACGTCCAACTCACCTACAAGGACATGAACCATGTCAACAGTTATGGCATGATCCGTGGCTTGCAGTTCTCTGCATTTGTGTTCCAATTCTATGGCCTTGTGTTGGATCTTCTGCTTCTGGGTCCTCAGCGAGCCAGCGAGATTGCTGGACCACCTCAAAGTCCCAACGACTTCTTGCAATTCCGTGACCGCGAGACTGAGTCTAGCCATCCCATCCGACTCTACACCCGATACATCGACAAAGTTTGGATCTTCCTCCGATTTACTGCCGAGGAGTCTCGAGACCTCATCCAAAGATTTCTCACCGAACAACCCGACCCCAACTTTGAGAACGTTATCGGATACAAGAGCAAGAAGTGCTGGCCAAGAGATTCTCGCATGCGCCTGATGCGTCATGATGTGAACCTTGGACGAGCTGTCTTCTGGGATATGAAGAATCGTCTGCCTCGATCCGTGACAACGATCGAGTGGGATGAAAGCTTTGTCAGCGTTTACAGTCGTGATAACCCGAACTTGCTCTTCTCTATGTGTGGTTTTGAAGTCCGCATTCTCCCCAAGATTCGCAACCAGAATGAAGAATTCCCGGTCAAGGATAGTGTGTGGTCTCTCGTGGACAACACCACAAAGGAGAGGACTGCTCACGCTTTCCTGCAAGTCACTGAGGAGGATATTCAGAAGTTCAACAATCGTATTCGACAGATTCTCATGTCGTCAGGTTCTACAACTTTCACCAAGATTGCCAACAAGTGGAACACAGCGTTGATCGCCCTCTTCACTTATTATCGTGAGGCGGCCGTATCGACCGTCGACCTGCTTGACACAATTGTCAAGTGCGAGACCAAGATTCAGACTCGAGTCAAGATTGGTCTAAACTCCAAAATGCCTTCTCGTTTCCCTCCTGCCGTCTTCTACACCCCCAAGGAGCTTGGTGGTCTTGGAATGATTTCGGGCTCACATATTCTTATTCCTGCTAGTGATAAGCGTTGGTCAAAGCAAACCGACACTGGCGTTACTCATTACAGGGCAGGAATGACCCACGATGAGGAGACCCTCATCCCGAATATTTTCCGATACATCATCCCCTGGGAGGCCGAGTTCATCGACTCTCAACGAGTCTGGACAGAATATTCCCAGAAACGTCTTGAAGCCAATCAACAGAACCGTCGTCTTACTCTTGAGGATCTTGAGGATAGTTGGGATCGCGGTCTTCCTCGAATCAACACCTTGTTCCAAAAGGACCGAAGCACCCTGAGCTTCGATAAGGGATTCCGAGCTCGAGCTGAATTCAAGATCTATCAATTGATGAAGAATAATCCTTTCTGGTGGACTAGTCAACGTCATGATGGAAAATTGTGGAACCTGAATGCTTATCGTACCGATGTGATCCAGGCATTGGGTGGTGTTGAGACCATCCTCGAACACACGTTGTTTAAAGCAACAGGTTTCCCGTCATGGGAAGGCCTCTTCTGGGAAAAGGCCTCGGGATTTGAATAAGTACCCCCCGTTCTGATGCGAAGAAACACATTTGCTAACCAGAAATTTACAGAATCGATGAAGTTCAAGAAATTGACCAATGCCCAGAGATCTGGATTAAAGTTTGGCGACCCCCCTTCTCTAAAGCTCTCTTAACTAACTTTTCTTAGTCAAATTCCTAACCGTCGCTTCACTTTGTGGTGGTCACCCACCATCAACCGAGCCAACGTCTACGTGGGTTTCCAGGTCCAGCTTGATTTGACTGGCATTTTCTTGCACGGAAAGATCCCTACTCTGAAGATCTCGCTTATCCAGATCTTCCGAGCTCATTTGTGGCAGAAGATCCATGAGTCTGTTGTTATGGATCTTTGCCAGGTGTTTGACCAGGAACTGGAATCTCTAGGCATTGAAACAGTTCAGAAAGAGACCATTCATCCTCGAAAGTCTTACAAGATGAACAGTTCTTGTGCCGATATCCTTCTGTTCTCTAACCACAAGTGGAATGTGACCAGACCTTCACTTCTTTACGATACCAAGGATGTTATTGAGCAGACAACTACCAACAAGTTCTGGATTGATGTTCAGCTCCGATATGGCGACTACGACTCACATGATATTGAACGATACACACGTGCAAAGTATCTCGACTATACGACAGACAGTGCCAGTATCTACCCCTCAGCTACTGGTCTCATGATTGGCATCGATCTTGCCTACAACCTCTACTCTGCTTATGGCATGTACTTCCCTGGTCTCAAGGTCCTTGTGCAGCAGGCTATGGCCAAGGTCATGAAGGCGAACCCCGCTCTGTACGTTTTGCGCGAGCGTATCCGAAAGGGTCTACAGCTCTACGCTTCTGAGAGCAACCAGGAGTTCTTGAACTCCCAGAACTACTCGGAATTGTTTAGCAACCAGACACAGTTGTTTATCGATGACACAAACGTCTACCGTGTCACCATTCACAAGACCTTTGAGGGTAACTTGACAACCAAGCCTATCAACGGTGCTATCTTCATCTTCAACCCAAGAACCGGACAGCTCTTCCTCAAGATCATTCACACTAGTGTCTGGGCTGGACAGAAGCGTCTTGGTCAACTCGCCAAGTGGAAGACGGCCGAAGAAGTCGCTGCTCTGATCCGATCATTGCCTGTGGAAGAACAACCCAAGCAGCTGATTGTGACAAGAAAGGGTCTTTTGGATCCTCTCGAGGTCCACTTGCTCGACTTCCCCAACATTTCCATTCGGGCTTCAGAGCTTCAGCTTCCCTTCCAGGCAGCGATGAAGGTGGAGAAGCTTGGTGACATGATTCTGCGTGCCACTGAACCTCAGATGGTGCTTTTCAACCTGTACGATGAGTGGCTGAAGAGTATTTCATCTTACACTGCCTTCTCTCGTCTTGTTCTTATTCTGCGCGCGCTCCACGTCAACCCTGACAAGACGAAGCTCATTCTCCGACCTGACAAGACTGTCATTACACACGAGCACCATATTTGGCCATCGCTCTCAGATGAAGATTGGATCAAGGTTGAAACGCAGCTTCGAGATCTTATCCTGAATGACTACGGCAAGAAGAACAATGTCAATGTCTCCAGTTTGACGACCAGCGAAGTGCGAGATATTATCCTGGGTATGGAAATTTCAGCCCCATCAATGCAACGACAACAAGCCGCCGAAATTGAGAAGCAACAACAAGAGCAGGCACAGTTGACCGCTGTGACTACGAAGACCCAGAACGTCCATGGCGAAGAGATCATTGTTACCACAACTTCGCAATTCGAGCAGCAAACATTTGCCTCCAAGACTGAGTGGCGAACACGAGCCATTGCTACATCCAACTTGCGCACACGAGCAAAGAACATTTATGTCTCGTCGGTTGACAATGATCTTGACGATATCACCTACGTCATGCCAAACAACATTCTGAAGCGCTTCATCACCATTGCTGACCTCAGAGTTCAAGTGGCCGGCTACCTGTACGGTTCCTCAGCCCCCGACAACGACCAGGTCAAGGAGATCAAGTGTATTGTCATGATCCCCCAGATTGGCGGCCTCCGCAACATCCAATTGCCCCAGCAACTTCCTCAGAGCGAGTTCCTTGAAGGAATGGAGCCTCTAGGTGTGATCCACACCGTCTCTGGCAGCGAACTACCTTACATGTCTGCCATGGATGTGACAGAACACTCAAAGCTCCTCGATGCGCATAACGAGTGGGACAAGACCAACACGGTCACGGTCTCGGTTGCATTCACACCTGGCAGTGTATCTCTATCGGCGTGGGGCCTCACACCAGCAGGCTACAAGTGGGGAGCTGAGAACAAGGACACCCAGAGTGATCAACCTCAAGGGTTTACTACAACGATGGGCGAGAAGCGAAAGCTGTTGCTGAGCCCACGGTTCAGGGGATTCTTCTTGGTACCGGACGATGGCAGGTGGAACTACAGCTTTATGGGCAACGCGTTTGCTGGGATGGAGAAGAGGCCTGTCCACGTCAAGCTGGATACGCCACTGCCGTTCTATAGCGACCAGCACAGACCAGTGCATTTCGTTAACTTTGCGGAACTGGAGGATATTTGGGTGGACCGATCGGATAACTTTGCTTAAAGTAGTGGGTAAACGGGCGTTGTTTTATCAAATGAGGGAGCATTTCATTCTGTAATCAATTAGTTGACCTGGGCAGACTGGGTGTATTTTTTATGCATGTTGTAAAATAGCTATGGTAAAAATGACAAGAAGGACTCAAGGAGAAATTGAAGCCGAGATGACGCATCACTTGATTTGATTAGTGACGGGATGATTTCCTTATATGGTGTTGATCACATTTGCAGAGGATTTGGATTACGCCATCCTCGTAGCTGAACATACACACATAGGTACTCTAATATGGTCATAACTTAGTTAGGATATGTTATCATAAACCCTAAAATTAGACTATATTTATTTCTCATCATAAAGTGATCTAAACTCATGTAAAATTGAATTCTCTAATAGATCTAGATCGCACACTTGGACGGGATCTAGTATAGACAGAAATTGGTTTCCTTTCTTTCTTTTCTTTTTCTCACTAGGGTGCAAAGTCTAAAAAGAAGTCATCGACATCGACCAGCAAAGATGCATGCGGATGTAGATGACGGATGACGGATAGTGACAGGGGTTCGCATGGATGACCCACGTCGATAGCCGGATAATTGACCGTGTCGTTGGGAGAAGGGGAGATGGGTTATGGAAAATGGAGATGTTAAACTGTAGGTGGCAGAATTGGGAATAGATTTGTGCAAGGGCCGTGGTGTATGCACTAAAAGGCGGCTTGGCCGAAGGCGTGGAAGCGCGCTGAGCTGTCAGTCAGCTGCGTGGGGGAGTAAAATTGGTCATTTATGCATTCATGCGAATATTCGAAGCGAGGTTATGAAATTCAAAAGCTTGGATAGTTTGATAGTCTGAGTGGCGGAGTAAAGTCAAGTTGGTTAGTTGATAGAAGATCTTATGGTAGTTTCGGTAAAGACTTTTTCAAAGATTTCCCCCTCCTATTTAGCTTTTTCGTTTACCTATAGTCGCCTATGTTATAACGATATCTTTGGAAATTCAGCGAAGATCATTTCTCTCTGCATGCTGTGGGGCGAATGGCATTAGGACGGGCGTACCTATCTTTGTTATTTTTGGCCGTTGGGTTTTCAGGGGTTGAGAGCTGGAGATCTACGCGAATTTCGCTGACGTCGATTACTATTCTTGTCAACCCAACCCAACCCAACCCAGGTCATGTCAGGCGACCCCATGTCATTTTGCCTCCTTGACAAGTATGTAAAGTGACCCGCATGCCTACATGCCTTAGTCTAGGCATTCTGTACCTGCAGTAAGGAGCCTGTAAGGTGAGGTAAGATTTGACTAGGGATGGTTACAAGGTGGTTCGAGCCAAAGATGGCGTCAAAGACCAGGCCCTGGGCTGCCATTGCTCGGTAAGATGGACGATCCCTCCCCAGAATTGGGTCTTGGGTTGGGTTCACGGCAGGCAGGCAGACCACGGACGGCCATTCTAGTTTCCGGGCCGTTGAGCTGAGCTAGACTATCACTTGATGAGACAATGCTCCGGCCATGGCTGGCTTATTCAACATCACGTAAAGTGAGCTCTGTTCAATAGTCTTGTCTCATTGTTTAGGGTATCCTAGGTTTGGAATGCAGTGCGTTGTGCTGGTTCAACGCTGGTTCAAGCATAACTTCCAAGCCGTCTCTTCAAATCAGTTAATCGTCTACATCTGGATTTACTAATACTGAAAATCATGAGCAAGGAGATTAGATAAGATCAACAGAATAAAAACAGTTCGTGTCAATGTTTCCAATTAATAATATTAAGTCTCGGTATATATCACTGGCTTATAGACAATCCTGCCTATATCGACCTGTCAAATCACTATATCTAATGTGTTCAGCGTTTCAAATAGACAATGCAGAAGGGCTTGAACGAGCTGCCAACCTAACTTAGAGTAATACTATTCATAGACTAAAAACCTCGATCTATCCGTTAATCCACGGTCTAGCATGTCATTTTGGCACTATTTCGCTGCGATAGATTTGTTGATAAAAGTAATATTGAGCTCGGGATATAGCTGAGATTAGGTTGCTGTCATCGTGGGGAAGCGATACTGTTGCATTCTCTAGGCCAACTGCTACCTACCATCGCCCGCCGCTTGACGTCGATGACATTCATTCTTTCCATTACCTGGTGCCCGCGTACTACGTAAAGCCTCAAGGCACTTTCCTGGAAGGCACAGTGACATTTGCTCCTTCTTCAATTTTGATCTTCAGTCTGTCTTGGTGGCTCTTTCTCAAATCTTCAAACAGGTCACATCATGCTCGGGCAACTTTCCCCTGTTCCAACTCCCCCCTCTCAGCCAAGCCTCCATTTTTGCTACTCATCATCCGCCCCCTTTGACAGTATCATCACCTCTTCATTCCAACTCCAAGCAAGCATCACCACTCAAAATTGAGCCCATTCATCGCCGGATACCCCTAAGGAGTTACCGTCCGACAACGTACATCCACTATTGCCCATCTTCAATCATACTCAGAGCGGCGCGTGCTCATTCCGCTCCACCAGCAACTAGGGTCCTCTGCGCTAGCCAAGGTCCCGACTCCCAACAAGGCCCTGTACGCGCTAGAATGTCCTTCTAGAAGGCCATACCCGACCTCCTGTTCCTGTTCCTGAACCGGGGCCCTGGGATCCGATCCCCCCATTGACGTCTCCTTCATGACGACAATGCCAGTGACAGAACCGTCGACTCGACTTGACTTGTCATACTCGCGCATCAGGAGATGCTTGCTAATGCCTCCCTGCCGCCGGAACACCATCTTGCCGGATTCTCAGGCTGCTTTCGGCCTCAACATCATGCGTGTTTCGACTTCAAAACGCCTGTTACCCTACGCGATGCACGCCTTCCAAGGGCCGTCTGATTGATTAGCATGAGGCATTGAGCAGCGCAATCTTGGCCACTCCGAACGGATTGTCAATGCCCGCTCAATAGGGCTGTTCCGGGCACACGCACCAGCACCAGCCACTGTCGATAGCGGCTTCGATATGGGGCGTTCGTCCCTTTGACATATCGCCAGGTTTCAAGCCAAGACACATTTTCTATCTTGGTCCCGGCTCAGAACCGGATAGGTCCAGCCTGATGCAGTATCGCATCGCATACAGCTCCATGCTTCTCAGACAAGCAAGCACCTGCGCATATGTCTGAGTTCCCATCTTTTTCGGCATCATGGCCTTTACCAGAAGCTCTCATTTGCATCCATTACTTGCCAAGCCAGTCACTAACAGACTCATCTCGGTCACCAATTCTGATGTGGACGTCGCTGCCCGTTACCGTTCTTCTCAGCCCTCCCCTATTGAGTGATCCAGATAATCGGTTCGCAGGGTCGATTTTCCCGTTGGCTCGACTGGGCCCATGTTCACGTACCCAGGTGCGCCCTGTCCATGAGCCGCGAGGCCACTTAAGGCTCTAGGCAGTTGTTAGTTGACTGTTGCACGTATCTGGTCCCTGACTTTAGTGCGGGAGCTTGTTCAATCCAGCCACCGTTGACCAGGATGTCGATCTAGCTTGTGCGGAACAACATCATGGCGTGCGCTCATATTGATCAAATCTGGACCAGCCCCGACAACCCGGCGTGCACACTCATCCATCCATGATGGGTTTCTCCCTGCTTTACCATCCAGATTTGCCAAACGGAGGTTCCCGGACAGTGGAGAATGGTTCTGCTTGCGATCTAGTCCAATTGATAGACACGATCCCGGTTGAGCCATCTGCTATAGCAAACCCTGGGTTTGTTATAACCCTCCACTCCACACCGTTACTCCTGTCCTGCACCAAGCACCATAACTGTTTTCTCCCTTGTTGCCACGCCATCAGCTCGGCACCCACTCTCTGTGGCTCTTTCTTTGTTCAGGCGGCGAAAAACCTGACAATGGCCGTTTTGCTGCTGTATTGCTACGGCTGTTCTTGGCCACCTCAGTGTGGTCTAGTCTCACGCTCTTCAAGCGAAGCGCGTTTCAAGTTGGCATTGTGCTCCAATAAGCACCTCCGCCCACCGTCCTTTCTGTGTCATCTTTTCCAGCAGAGGTACATTTTCCTAATTGTTCTATGCGCAGGGGCTTTGTAATGGCAAATTGCCATCTATTCGGGAGAGCTTGTCTTCAAAGCAATGCTATTGCATTGTGCTCTTATCCTTGCTAGTCATGATGGATGCCAGGGGTGGCTATTGTTTCTATATCAGGCACCCTGGAGACCTTGCAATGGACATAAGATCGTCAAATTGACCACCCTCCAGACCCTGGCCTTGGTTAACAGGTAGTCTCCGCAGCACAGCACTTGTCGGACGGGGATTGTTCTCATACCGGACTGGGCAAAATCTCCAAGTGCTTTAACCTGCAGCATGAACGCAGAGAGGCCAGTGATCCACTCCCTCTGCGACCCTGCTCTAGCTACTCCGTCATCAGACGATATAGGCCTGCCCTGGTACTGGCAACGCTTGCCAGGTTACTAGCCCTTGTGTTAAATACGTTTACTGACCCCAGGCCGGGAGCTAAAAGAGATCTTGTGAGGGGACGTATCCTATCATACAAAATAAAGCATTACCGCTTCTACAAACTCGCTTTCCTATCGACTGCCTTACTCGGTGTAGTAGTGGTATGTCCTAATAGTATTCATCCTAATCAAGTCCTTCTCTTATGCCTTCTCTCCAAGACAGCAGCTTCGGATTGAATGCGCATTCGACACACTCCTTTGGACTACTCACAACCGTTACGCTATTATAACTCCTGCCTGAGCTCACCCCCCCAACACGGCCCTCCAACGCCAGTCACCAGCGTCTCACTCAACTACGGAAACGGGAAAGCCTCTGGCCCGGTACCAATCAGTGAAAATTCAGACAATATATGTGGCAAGCTGCTTAGTAGCTAGTAACGCTATCGACTTACACTTCAGACGCAAAATACAACAACCAGAAGCCTAGCTTGACGCACACAAATCACACCGTTTTGGACACCACTAAATAACCCTTTCTCTTCCTCGCCGTAGCCCGCAAGGGCTTCATCCTGTCAAATTCTTTCCATTCAG